TCGCCTCGGTAGCTCAGCCGGCAGAGCGCGTGCATTTTAAGCCCGTGGCCGCGGGTTCGAGCCCGGCCCGAGGTGCGCATACATCATTAAGTGGTTTTTAGTCTATGGTTTACTGGAAATTGCCTTGGAAGAGTTTAGGGGTCCATTTTTACTAGGTCGAGTGCTGCATTCGCCTCGGTGGAGCTCAGTCGGCAGAGCGCGTGCCTTTTAAGCCCGTGCCTTTTAAGCCCGTGGCCGCGGGTTCGAGCCCCGCCCGAGGTGCGCATACATCAATAAATGGTTTTTAGTCTATGGTTTACTGGAAATTGCCTTGGAAGAGTTTAGGGGTCCATTTTTAAAGCCCGTGGCCGCGGGTTCGAGCCCCGCCCGAGGTGCGCATATATCATCAAGCGGTTTTCAGTCTATGGTTCACTGGGAATTGTCTTGGAAGAGTGTAACGGTCTATCTTTTACTAGTTTAGGTGTTGCACTCGCCTCGGTAGCTCAGTCGGCAGAGCGCGTGCCTTTTAAGCCCGTGGCCGCGGGTTCGAGCCCCGCCCGAGGTGCGCATACATCATCAAGCGGTTTTCAGTCTACGGTTTACTGGAAATTGCCTTGGAAGAGTTTAGGGGTCCGTTTTTACTAGATGAAGTGCTGCATTCGCCTCGGTAGCTCAGCCGGCAGAGCGCGTGCCTTTTAAGCCCGTGGCCGCGGGTTCGAGCCCCGCCCGAGGTGCGCATACATCATTAAGTGGTTTTTAGTCTATGGTTTACTGGAAATTGCCTTGGAAGAGTTTAGGGGTCCGTTTTTACTAGATGAAGTGCTGCATTCGCCTCGGTAGCTCAGCCGGCAGAGCGCGTGCCTTTTAAGCCCGTGGCCGCGGGTTCGAGCCCCGCCCGAGGTGCGCATACATCATTAAGTGGTTTTTAGTCTATGGTTTACTGGAAATTGCCTTGGAAGAGTTTAGGGGTCCATTTTTACTAGGTCAAGTGCTGCATTCGCCTCGGTAGCTCAGTCGGCAGAGCGCGTGCCTTTTAAGCCCGTGCCTTTTAAGCCCGTGGCCGCGGGTTCGAGCCCCGCCCGAGGTGCGCATACATCATTAAGTGGTTTTTAGTCTATGGTTTACTGGAAATTGCCTTGGAAGAGTTTAGGGGTCCGTTTTTACTAGTTTGAGAGTTGCAGTCGCCTTGGTAGCTCAGCCGGCAGAGCCCGTGCCTTTTAAGCCCGTGGCCGCGGGTTCGAGCCCCGCTCGAGGTGCGCATGCATCGTAAAGTGCTTTTTAGTCTATGGTTTACTGGAAATTGCCTTGGAAGAGTTTAGGGGTCCATTTTTACTAGATCAAGTGCTGCATTCGCCTCGGTAGCTCAGTCGGCAGAGCGCGTGCCTTTTAAGCCCGTGCCTTTTAAGCCCGTGGCCGCGGGTTCGAGCCCCGCCCGAGGTGCGCATACATCATCAAGCGGTTTTCAGTCTATAGTTCACTGGGAATTGTCATGGAAGAGTGTAACGGTCTATCTTCTACTAGTTTAAGTGTTGCATTCGCCTCGATTACCGAGGCTCGGTAGTTCAGCCGGCAGAGCGCGTGCCTTTTAAGCCCGTGGCCGCGGGTTCGAGCCCCGCCCGAGGTGCGCATACATCATTAAGTGGTTTTTAGTCTATGGTTTACTGGAAATTGCCTTGGAAGAGTTTAGGGGTCCGTTTTTACTAGATGAAGTGCTGCATTCGCCTCGGTAGCTCACCCGGCAGAGCGCGTGCCTTTTAAGCCCGTGGCCGCGGGTTCGAGCCCCGCCCGAGGTGCGCATACATCATTAAGTGGTTTTTAGTCTATGGTTTACTGGAAATTGCCTTGGAAGAGTTTAGGGGTCCGTTTTTACTAGATGAAGTGCTGCATTCGCCTCGGTAGCTCACCCGGCAGAGCGCGTGCCTTTTAAGCCCGTGGCCGCGGGTTCGAGCCCCGCCCGAGGTGCGCATACATCATTAAGTGGTTTTTAGTCTATGGTTTACTGGAAATTGCCTTGGAAGAGTTTAGGGGTCGATTTTTACTAGATCAAGTGCTGCATTCGCCTCGGTAGCTCAGTCGGCAGAGCGCGTGCCTTTTAAGCCCGTGGCCGCGGGTTCGAGCCCCGCCCGAGGTGCGCATACATCAATAAGTGGTTTTTAGTCTATGGTTTACTGGAAATTGCCTTGGAAGAGTTTAGGGGTCCATTTTTACTAGGTTAAGTGCTGCATTCGCCTCGGTAGCTCAGTCGGCAGAGCGCGTGCTTTTTAAGCCCGTGGCCGCGGGTTCGAGCCCCGCCCGAGGTGCGCATATATCATCAAGCGGTTTTCAGTCTATGGTTCACTGGGAATTGTCTTGGAAGAGTGTAACGATCTATCTTTTACTAGTTTGAGAGTTGTAGTTGCCTTGGTAGCTCAGTTGGCAGAGCGCGTGCCTTTTAAGCCCGTGGCCGCGGGTTCGAGTCCCGCTCGAGGTGCGCATGCATCATAAAGTGCTTTTTAGTCTATGGTTTACTGGAAATTGCCTTGGAAGAGTTTAGGGGTCCATTTTTACTAGATCAAGTGCTGCATTCGCCTCGGTAGCTCACCCGGCAGAGCGCGTGCCTTTTAAGCCCGTGGCCGCGGGTTCGAGCCCCGCCCGAGGTGCGCATACATCATTAAGTGGTTTTTAGTCTATGGTTTGCTGGAAATTGCCTTGGAAGAGTTTAGGGGTCCGTTTTTACTAGTTTGAGAGTTGCAGTCGCCTTGGTAGCTCAGTCGGCAGAGCCCGTGCCTTTTAAGCCCGTGGCCGCGGGTTCGAGCCCCGCTCGAGGTGCGCATGCATCATAAAGTGCTCTTTAGTCTATGGTTTACTGGAAATTGCCTTGGAAGAGTTTAGGGGTCCATTTTTACTAGATCAAGTGCTGCATTCGTCTCGGTAGCTCAGTCGGCAGAGCGCGTGCCTTTTAAGCCCGTGGCCGCGGGTTCGAGCCCCGCCCGAGGTGCGCATACATCATCAAGCGGTTTTCAGTCTATAGTTTACTGGAAATTGCCTTGGAAGAGTTTAGGGGTCCGTTTTTACTAGATGAAGTGCTGCATTCGCCTCGGTAGCTCACCCGGCAGAGCGCGTGCCTTTTAAGCCCGTGGCCGCGGGTTTGAGCCCCGCCCGAGGTGCGCATACATCATTAAGTGGTTTTTAGTCTATGGTTTACTGGAAATTGCCTTGGAAGAGTTTAGGGGTCGATTTTTACTAGATCAAGTGCTGCATTCGCCTCGGTAGCTCAGTCGGCAGAGCGCGTGCCTTTTGAGCCCGTGGCCGCGGGTTCGAGCCCCGCCCGAGGTGCGCATACATCAATAAGTGGTTTTTAGTCTATGGTTTGCTGGAAATTGCCTTGGAAGAGTTTAGGGGTCCGTTTTTACTAGGTTAAGTGCTGCATTCGCCTCGGTAGCTCAGTCGGCAGAGCGCGTGCCTTTTAAGCCCGTGGCCGCGGGTTCGAGCCCGGCCCGAGGTGCGCATACATCATTAAGTGGTTTTTAGTCTATGGTTTACTGGAAATTGCCTTGGAAGAGTTTAGGGGTCCATTTTTACTAGGTCGAGTGCTGCATTCGCCTCGGTAGCTCAGTCGGCAGAGCGCGTGCCTTTTAAGCCCGTGCCTTTTAAGCCCGTGGCCGCGGGTTCGAGCCCCGCCCGAGGTGCGCATACATCAATAAATGGTTTTTAGTCTATGGTTTACTGGAAATTGCCTTGGAAGAGTTTAGGGGTCCATTTTTACTAGGTCAGGGCCGCGGGTTCGAGCCCCGCCCGAGGTGCGCATACATCAATAAGTGATTTTAGTCTATGGTTTACTGGAAATTGCCTTGGAAGAGTTTAGGGGTCCATTTTTACTAGGTCAAGTGCTGCATTCGCCTCGGTAGCTCAGTCGGCATAGTGCGTGCCTCTTGAGCCCGTGGCCGCGGGTTCGAGCCCCGCCCGAGGTGCGCATACATCAATAAGTGGTTTTTAGTCTATGGTTTGCTGGAAATTGCCTTGGAAGAGTTTAGGGGTCCGTTTTTACTAGATGAAGTGCTGCATTCGCCTCGGTAGCTCAGCCGGCAGAGCGCGTGCCTTTTAAGCCCGTGGCCGCGGGTTCGAGCCCCGCCCGAGGTGCGCATACATCATTAAGTGGTTTTTAGTCTATGGTTTACTGGAAATTGCCTTGGAAGAGTTTACGGGTCCATTTTTACTAGGTCGAGTGCTGCATTCGCCTCGGTAGCTCAGTCGGCAGAGCGCGTGCCT